CTAAACTGGACGACTACTTCAGGAAGCAAACTAGAGCACGTGAAGACAACGTGGATTTGAACGACCCCCGAGATTACACAGAAGCGTTAGTCGGAGAACAGTTTCGCAATCATGGAGTTAGACAGTCATCGACCTTCAAAGAATTGAAAAATGTCAAGGAAACAGCTACATCTTCTGTTAGCGAGTTATTCCGAACTGCTACAGATCCTACCTATACTGCACTTCGATGGGCGTTGGTATATAGCGTTAAACATCCAGAAATTCAAGAGAAAATACACAACGAAATCGTTGATGTCATTGGTACAAGTCGCAGAGCAACCATTAATGATTATGACAGTATGCCATTCACCCAGGCAGCAATAATGGAGGCCATGAGAATGGTAGCGCCATTGTCCCTCGCTCCTCCACACAGTAATACAAAGGATTGTAAAATCGGAGGCTATGATATTCCTAAAGATAGCTATGTTCTCCCAAATTTTCACTCTGTTCACATGGATCCAGAATTCTGGGAAAATCCAGAAAAGTACGACCCAAGTCGTTTTATTGGTCCTGATGGAAAGCTGAGAAACAAGGTTGCCTTCATGGCATTTGGTAGAGGTGAGATATACACGACTGAATACAATGAAACTAATTCTATGCACGTGTTGTGGCACATTCCATTGAGCCATATATACTTGTACCTTACGAAACAGTGCTGTTGAGTTTCAATATTCATGTAGTTGCGTATTAATTCATCTATCACCGTATTCTACCCGCTGTACACATACTTTGTAATGAGCACTTTTGTTTTGGAATAATCGACTTTCGTATCTATACTATATATATAATGTATATACAAAAACATTTCAAAGTAATATTCCACCTAGCGTAGTCACAGTTTTCAATTATTTTTAGTTGTGTAAATAACAACCATTTTGAGTATTTTCATTGGTTTCCCGTATATAGTTTTTGTTTATAATTGTTTCTTTACCATTTATTGATAGGTCATCGCAAATGCCCTGGTGAAAATATAGCCCGGTGTCAGCTATTCCTTTTTTTTACCTCCTTCATCCAACGATTTAGATTTGAGTTGGCCGAGGATGCTGCTGCATTAAAGTCGAAAACTGGAATGAGCCTTATAAACAAGCCTGCCGACCACAAAATTCGTTGTATACCGCGCACTTGAGAATGGGTTTGTAGATTATCAGTTATAGTTAATGTAGAATATTGTATTTTGTTTAGTCCGGATGGCCATTTTATCATTGGTGGGGGTATATTATTGACAAAAGAGAAACTCAATTTGTAATAATAAGTGGCAGGGGACAGTCATCACTTAGATACGGTTTTCAGAACGTTTACATTTATATGGTATCGTTTATAGATTATTACATATTATAGTTTAGGATGAGATAGTAATGGTATAACTCAATTCGGTATAATAACTATCATAACAAATGATGGTCACGTGTGACTATTTTCATAATGTTTTCATTTAATGGTATTTCATTTAGATTACTATGAGTGAATGTGTTTTTTTTGTTGAATACGAGAAACAAAAAATTAGAATGATATATTTCTTTCAATTATAAAATTTAGTGACGGTGTTTTATAGCTCGGATGATATACATGACTTGTTGGTGATATATTTATGATTAAATACGAGATAACAGTGTTATAATTGACAGTTGACGATTTTCAAAATATTTTACTTGTACTGTTGGTATTTTATATTGGGGAAGCGATAAATGATAGTTACGAGAAAACGCATTTGATATAATAACTGGGAGGTGACTGTCATCACGAATTCAGAATATGTATGTACATGTAATTGTATCATTTTCACAATGATTTGTATATAGTTGGGAAGAGGATACATGATTTGTGATGATATAATTGTGTAGAAAAATACGCAAATACAATTTGTTATGATGAATGACAAGTGAAAGTCATCACTTAAGGAATGTTTTCTTGTCTCCTTTGTTTTGTTATTGTATTTCATAGCTGGGAATGCGAGGAAACATAATTTAGCTTATTGGCAGATGATGAATTTGGATTTTTTTCATTATAAGTGTTAGTGGGTTTGAATATTGTATTTTATTATTAGAGAGATGATCATTTTTGTGATTGTACAATTATGATAAAGACGTAAAAACACAAATTGGTATGCCTTCTTTATTCATTCTTTTGTTATTTAACAATAAAATATGAAAGAACCAAAAAGCAAACAAATACAATGTATTCACATTTAGATATATATACATCCGTGCTAAAATTTGTATAAAGTTTGAAAATAGAGACTTATATTGTCCATGCAGTGTTTTGGCAGTAATGATAAGTCAGCAATTACCTAAAGTTTATTTCTTGATTATTATAGACATTATAGATTATTATATGTCGGAGATGAATTCGAATGATCATTTATTTCCATTCAATAGTATACATTTATTGCATATACACTGTACGTGAATCGTTGTTATGAATACGTAATTAATTTATGTATCTAATGTTGGTGCCAGAAATGTGTTACTTTGTTGCACTGCCTGCTTTATCACGTGTTAGTTGCCCATAGTTTTTGTAATGTGTTACGTAGTGATATTCAGATTGTACAAACAATATTTCATTTTAGAAAAAGAAACAAGAACCGAAGAACTTTCAGAAAATAATATTAATGAACAAAACATTTCAAAGCACTACATTGATATATATAAATTTGAACAACAAAAGACTAAGTAATTTGATTGAAAGTTAATACTCTTTAAAAAGGTGTAACATAAGTCCACACATAAATGTCCTTAACGTGATCTGAATTTGTAGAGGTTGGAAGGTTTTTCAAAGAGATGGGGCATAGACAAGGCCCTGATTCCACAATGTGTAGACCCCCGAGTGCGAAGCACGCAATGGGAGGCTTTGCAGTTAGTGTTTGTGTATGCGTCTGTCTGTTCCACTGATATCGCAAGAACCAAATGTTGTTTTTTAAATAAAACTTGATGCATAGATGCTTCAGGCTAATGCTCAAATTTGATTAGGTTTTGGTTTTTTCATGCATGTTAATTGCCTAATTTGCATGATAATTATCTAATTAGCTAGTTTCATTGGATTTATGAAAGTTGGCACAAAGACTAGTTTTTGGTAAAAATCTGTTATTAGTTATCTAATTTGCAAAATTATTAGTAAATTCTTAAGAGGTGCTCATATTATAAGCTTTAAAAATGTGGATCATATTGTTTCTCAAATAGCAGACAAATAGTAGTTGCTAATTAATTGTTTATATGTCTCCAATACCCAATACACGTAAGTATTTTCTAAGTTTTTGTTTTAATTATTGTAAACAGACTGATGCAGTTGTATCTTTCCCTTAGATTTCGCCCGAAATTATTAATAATCGGAGATGGATTGGTGCCTGTTCGTGGATGGTTTTCTATAAATTATGCACAGTATTTTGAAAATTATTCGCTACTTTATCACGCGGAGAACAGTTTTCTCTTCAGTGTGTGTTGAACAGAACATGTTTTCACAACCAACCGACCAATCATATATAGTTTATCTGCATCCCTATCCAAAGTCAATGGGGAGGCGTTCGTACAATTTTGTGTATATACAGTTTTGGCTGGATTTAAGCTCAATATATGTAAACATATGTTATTTTTTCATTATTAATAAATATTATATTTCACACATGACATCCTATAAATACCCCTTAGGTAATCAGTAAAACACAGATGAAACACAGTATTCAAAAATAAATAATAACTATACAAATGATACGATAAAATGAAATGAACCCAAATGAGTTGCCTCATAATTATCTAAATTTTACCAGTACCAAAGTCCATGTATCCATTTGAAAAATACAATAATAAATGACAACTATAAATTAAACGACAATGGAATTCAGCGACCTCTGCAGCAACTTCTCACGTGCGTGTGATACAGCGAATTCGGTGGGATGCAGGGTTGTTTGTGAGACCTTCCCATTTCACTAGTGGAGCGTCCTCTGCCAACTCAAATCGGAAACTTTGCATGACGTATGCAACAAACAGGAATAACTAATTCCAGGCTAGGTATTCACCAGGACATTTACGATGACCTATTAATACAATATGCAAAGTAACGGACATTATTAGCAGGTACAACTTTAATTGTCAGTAATTCGAGATAGTAGGGAAAATAGGAAGGTTGCCTGAGACAGGAGTGTGACCGAAATATTATATATCCGCCAAACCGTTTCATACAATCAACAATATTTCCTCATAAGAACTACACTTGAATTGAATTCGTTGTCGGTATTTATTCATTTATCACATGAACCGTTGTTTCATTATAAATATTTGGATTCGAGAATATTTACGGAATCTAGCTTCATTGCAATAATATAGGTTGGACAAATAAATCTTTTTATTGCGCTTTTGCTCATAAGAGAACAACATTTAATTGGTTTAAACTACATCAGTGCAACACTCACCTTTACCGAAAGCCATGAAGGCAACCCTGTTTCCCAGTTTTCCATCGGGGTCAATGAATCGACTTGGGTCGTATGTTTCCGGATGCGCCCAGTATTCTGGATCCATGTGAACGGAATATTGGGCATGATATAACTATGTTTAGGAATATCATAATCGCCGATTTTACAATCTTTGATAGTACTATGTGGAAGAGACAGAGGTGCGGGCGTTGCCATTCTCATGGTTTCTCGTATAGCTGCTTGGATGAATGGAATACTGTCGCGATCATTGATGGTTGCTCGGCAACAACATCCTCTATCTCTTGATAGATTTTCTCTTGAATTTCTGGATGTGTGGCGATAAACATCATAGTCCATCGCAGTGTTGTGTGAGTGGTTTCTGTTGCAGCTCGAAATAATTCACTTATGAGATGAGTAATTGTTTCCATATCATTTTCCAAATCGTCGAGGATTGATTGTTGTTTCAATTCCTGCTTGCGAAAATGCTCTCGGAGTAAAGCTTCCGTGAAATCTCTTGGGTTATTCAAATATATTACGTCTTCTCGTGCTTGGATTTGCTTTTTGAAGAATTCATTTAGCTTAGCGTATGTAGATTTTAAGACATTTAATTTGCCATATGGAATATGCCACAGCAGAGGAATAAAGTTAGCTGAGATATTATATTTCACTTTAGCGACAAAGTCGGTGCTCAGTACTAACAAATTTTGAAATTTTGTGTCACTATATTCCTATCTTTTACCAAATAAAATATTGCATACAACATTGGTGACGGCGTGCTGTAGAAAAAGATGACAGTCAACAGGCTCGGAGTTGGATGCTTCTAGCGCTTGGCACAGCGACTCGGCCTCTTCTTGAATCTTTATATCAAGACCCTTGCCAACACCAAAGTTACGAAATTGTGTCACCATAAACGTGCGATGTTTCTTCCACACATGGTCAAAACTTCGAGTTGCCAGACCTAAAAAGAAACGCAGAAATAACAATCAAATCGATTTGTTTATTTTTTACATGGCACAATTAGTATTTTGAAACAAATCTTGAAAAAAGGACAAATATAAAAAATACAGAACTGAAGCTTTTTCCAGAGGTTCCAACGACAGCGATAATGTGTTACTTTGCCATCGTTATTCAGTGATTTGTTGTGAATTTCAACAGAGGCGAAGCCAGGAAGTTGAGTTATTAAAAGCGAAAATATTTTTATATTTATTAATTCCATATTCACTTTTGTTTCAAACTAAAGCTCCTGCTAGCAGATTGTAGGCTACGATGTCAAAGGGAGAAATTCTCTATGTTAGAATGACACTGTATATGTTAACGGAAAGATAATATATACAAAAGAACTATGCGTTGTTCACACACAAGATTATGTTAGTAACAATAGTTGAAAAAAACATTAACACCATCCACATGTGGTCTGTTTTGGAGCGTTTATTCAATGAGCAAACCAAGTACTGTAAAATACTTTATTTTAGCTGGAATTAATTTTCTTTGAAAAGATTGTTTGGGTGTTTTGTATGTAGTTTATTTTTACTGCTTTTTGATGAGCGGAATGTAAAATATATATATTCGCTGGATTTAATTTTCACTAAATCATTCCTTCAGCGAAAATGGTGAAAATTAATCCCAAGCGAAAATAAAGTATTTTAAAGCATGTAAAATTATATCACTAAAAAAGTATCACTCAAAAATAGATTAACTATTGCTAGAGCATATTAACGGTCGCTATATCGCTTAAAATGAATGAAGCTTCTTTTTTTGCTTTCGACTAAATATCTTGTAATCCAGTTTTCCTTCCTTTATATATATATAATATATCTTCTGTCGTGACCGCGATATTTTCATATTTTTGCGGGTATTTTGAGAGTTTAAAAACTATGTTACGTTCATATTTTCTCTGTGAAACACACATTATCTCTATTTCAGTCCATTTTCTCTGAAAATTCATCTTTTTCAACTGGAAATCCACCTTTCTCAGCTGTCTTAAATAGTTCTTTAGCTGCCCTCGTTTGTACCCAACACGGTTATTATGTCTACCTGAAACAGTTAAATAAAGCTAATGTTCTAACGCACAACGTACATATTATACTTACAAAATTGTTAAAATTATGTACATGTAAAATAATAACAAAAGTGATACAATATATAATAATATAATATAATAAAACTTGAGCACCCTACTCTGAATTCGAAGACTTTGACCTCGAATTTCTATATAATTTTGTCACCATGTACTTTTGCTTGACGTTATTATATTTCACTTAAATTGTCGCTTTCCCAATTAACTTTAACAATTCATTCAATATATACTAAAGGATCTATTGTATTCTAGTTTAGATTTCTCGCAATTTACGTGATTTGGAACTCTTAATTCTAA